TATAACATCTCGTCACCTACCAGAACTAATTATTTCCTTAATGTTTGGTATTCTCTGATTCACTGCAGTACCTTTCCTGTTATTCCTGTCAGCTCCTCTAGTTTTACACTAACCTCTTATGCGGAACGGTGTCGAAAGAAAATGCAGTCTAACTACCATGTCGTAAAACTCCAGGAGGTTTGTGACACAGGATTTCCCTTCCCTGAAACTGTGCTGGTTATCGTGTACAACCTCATTCCTTTCTAAGTGCTCCACCACTCTTCTCCTTATAATCTTCTCCATGACCTTGCGGTGCCCCTCAAGGAAGGTTCCTTGATGTTGGTGAGGGGCTCTTGATCTAGGGAACTGGATCTTTGCTCCAGTTCCCTGAATTAACCCTGAATACCTTCCATCCCCCCCACAGGCGCTGTATAATCCTACAGGTATAGCGCTCCCCCTTGATTATAATAATAATCCATGACCTTGCATACTATACATTTCAGTGAAACTGGTGTGTAGTTTAATGCTGCGTGTCTGTCTTAAAGATTGGAACTACGTTTGCTGTCTTCCATACCTCAGGTAGTTGCCCTGCTTCGATACATATGTTGAATATTGTTAGTGGCACACAGCGCCTCTGCTCCTCTCAAGACCTACGGAGAGATGTTGCTTGGTCCCACTGCTTTAGAGGTATCAAGTTCACTTAGCAGCCTCCTCACTTCCTCCTCCTTTGTTGTATGTATCGTCTCCAGCACTTGTTGGTGCACTCCACCATTCCGGCTTTCTGAAGTATTTCTGTCTCCAATGAAAATATTTCCTTATATCACATGTTGAGTTGTTCACATACTTCTTAGTCGTTGCTTGTGATCTCCCCTCCTTCCTTCCTCAGTCTGATTACCTGGTCTTTGACTGTTGTTTTCTTCTTAATGTGACTGTATAACAACTTGTATGTACTCACCTAGTAGTACTCACCTTGTTGAGGTTGCAGGGGTCGAGTCCGAGCTCCTGGCCCCGCCTCTTCACTGGTCGCTACTAGGTCACTCTCCCTGAACCATGAGCTTTATCGTACCTCTGCTTAAAGGTATGTATGGATCCTGCCTCCACTACATCGCTTCCCAAACTATTCCACTTACTGACTACTCTGTGGCTGAAGAAATACTTCCTAACATCCCTGTGATTCATCTGTGTCTTCAACTTCCAACTGTGTCCCGTGTTACTGGTGTCCAATCTCTGGAACATCTGTCTTTGTCCACCTTGTCAATCCTCTCAGTATTTTGTTGTCGTTATCATGTCCCCCCTATCTCTCCTGTCTCCAGTGTCGTCAGGTTGATTTCCCTTAACCCCTTTCCCCGTAGGACATACCTCTTAGCTTTTGGAACTAGTCTTGTTGCAAACCTTTGCACTTTCTCTAGTTTCTTTACATGCTTGGGTAGGTGTGGGGTTCCAAAAATGGTGCCGCATACTCCAATATGGGCCTAACGTACACGGTGTACAGGGTCCAGAACGATTCCTTATTAAGATGTCGGAATGCTGTTTTTGAGGGGTTTTCTAGGCGCCCATATGTGTGTATGTGTGTGTGTATGTGTGTGTGTGTGTGTTTGTGTGTGTGTGTGTGTGTGTGTGTGTGTGTGTGTGGTGTGTGTGGTTGTGGGGGTTGTGTGTGTGTTGTGTCTCCCTATTTGTACTCACCTTTTTGGGTTTTTGCGGGGCGATCCTAGTCGGGCCCCCTCTTCACCGGTTGTACTGGCCCTCCTCTCCCCCCATGGCTTTATTAAACCTCGTCTTAAAACTGTGTAGGGTTCCTGCCCCTACGTCATTTTCTAGGCTTTTCCCTCCCTTTACAACTCTATGACTGAAGCAATACTTCCTATATTCTTGTCTTTGTGTCTTCAATTTCCCATTGGGGCCTTTTTGTTTCTGTTCCCCCCCCTGGAAACCCTGTCCTTGTCCACCTTGTCTATTCCAGCAGTATTTTATATGTCGTTATCAGTCCCCCCTGACCCTCCTGTCCCCAGTGTCGCGGGCCGTTTTCCCCTTAATTTTTCTTCATGGCTTTCCCCCTTAGCTCGGGAACAAACCTTGTTGCAAACCTTTGTTTTTCTCTAGTTTCTTGCGTGCTTTATCAAGGGGGGTTCCCAAAGGTGCTGCATACTCCGTATGGCCTGAATACACGGGTACATGTCTTGAATGATTCCTTACTAAGGGTGGGAAGCTGTTTCAGGTTTGCCAGGCCCCTAGCTGCTCATTGATGTTGGGGTGTGTATGTG